CCCCGCCCGGTGGGGCAGGCCGGTGTCTCCTTTGTTCCGGGGAGCCTCGGATGGGGGGCGGGTGGGGCAGGAGGCGGTGTTCAGGGGTCTGCGCCGTCCCCTACTAAACAGCCAGGCCGGGGAAACTTTGTTGGAAACTTTGCGCCGGGGTCACAGGGAGGCTCCCGGGGTGGCTCCTCCGCGCGCCGTGCGCCCCAGCCTGTTGCTCTTCCCGCCTCCTCCGGCCTCAGCCGCGCCGCGGGCTCCAAGCTTGGACGTGACTAAGCCGGTGTCAGCTTTTCTGCCTCCGCACCCTCGCCCCTTCCCTGGTGATCCTGGGGCAGGCTTGGAGCGCCGAATCCTCCTTCTTGTCCTCTGGGTGACCAGAGCGGGCAGCTTTAGAACCCGAGATGGCCTAGGGATAAGGGTGGCTGCGTGTACTCAGAAGGGAGAGGGTTTTAGGGTTGTGCGGGGCCCTATTTCACACCGCAGAGAGTGGAGAGCTGAGTCCTGTCCTCAGTTCTGGCTCCAGCCCTACCGTTCACTTGTGTCTGCCCCTTCTGAGTCGCAGTTTCCCCGTGGCTACTGCTTCTTTAGGGTCCCTAGAGAGTTGGGACTCTGATCTTTCAAGGGCAGATAGGAGGGATGGTTTAGGCTCAGCACTTGGCCAGAAGTTGAGTCCCTGCTTTCTGCAAGAAGAGTTTTCATTTCTGCTGAACTGCGGATGGAGAAATTGAAGCACCCACCTTGAATGGGGTGAAAGGGACTGGGGGAGAGATGGCTTCAGTGAACCCAGAGAAACTTTTCCTTCTCACCGTCCACTGGTCCCTGTCATAGTTTACACAGCCCTGGGCAACCAGGAGCTCCATTCTAGCAGCCAGCTGGGGAGGAGGAAGGCAAACTCCTCTGGGAACTTGGGGGTGTGGGAATTGCTGGGAGAGGCGATCTGCCCTCTAGGAGCCTGAGCTTTGTGGCCTTTACCCCAGTTTTTAGGGGGAGCTAGTTCCTGGAGTTTAATCATTAATGTTGTTTTATTTTATTTTTTGAAAGCCCTGGGGCTCCTATTCCTCTGAATTTACTTAGGGGAAAGTCAATTCTGCCTGGCATGCTCTTGTTGAGGAATGAATGAGACCCTGAGCAATACTCCCCCAAACAATTCCAAACATGTAGTGATGATAGTGCTTTTCCTGTGCCTGGCAAAGTTCTAATAGCTTTCTAATGGCTCTAACAACTAGCTTAATTCTGATACTAACGCTACTTACTGTTTACTGTTCTTAAACTGGTCCTGAGGCTAGAGAGGTTAAGTAACTTGCCCAAGGTCACACAGCTAATCAGGGGTTGAGTCAGCTTCAAATTTAGGCAGCCAGGCTTCCAAATTCCTACTTTTATCTTAACTCGTAGTCTTTATGCTACTCTTAGTGGTTGCTGTTGTGTCCCATCCCAGGAAACTCAAAACTGGTTTAGAATCTGTTGAGATTTTAGGCTGGAAGTCCTTAAGGAATTCTGAGATGGAAGGAAACAGAAGCCCAGAGTGAGGAATGACTTTCCCAAACCCACGGCAACCTTGCCAAAAGGTTAGTGGCTGAGCCAGGACTATAATCCAAGTCTTCTGCCTCCCTGGTGCAGTGCTCTAAACTAGCCCTGAAGGATGTGTTGGAGTCAAGCAATTCCGAAGGAACACTGCATGGGCATTGTGAGGAAAAAGAGGAAAGGACCTAGGAGGTTGTGAGATCACCACACAGACCGTCACATAACAGTCTCAGCTCAGGAGCTGCTGAGCCTGCGGGTGCTTCAGAGAGAGGAGCAGACAGCTGTGTCCTAGGGGCAGTCTGAAAGAAGGATGTGGTTTGGGGGAAGAGGGCTGCGTCAGTGCTGCATAGGGTGACCCATCAGCTGGAGGAGAAGTCAGCTGGGCAGCTGCTTACTGAAAGAAGTGTCAGTCTCTCATCCTGATCTCAGCTCTCCCCTTCCTGGGTAATGTGACACACCTCCTGCCTCTAACTGGGGCACAGGGCTTCCCCTTTTGACCCGCCCCCCAATCCTTTTTGCCTAGGTTGTGGCTGGGAAAATCATACATAGCCACAACTGGCATAGCCTGCAGAGATGATCTGTCCACTTTTTTCTTTTTGCAGACGGAGAAAAATGAGGACCAGGACGAAGGATTTTGCTAACAGAGGTTATGATTTATAGTGCACTTTCCATATGTCAGATCTGGTTCATTTTGTCCTCACAAAAAACCTAGCATGTGGAGGGCCGGCCCGTGGCTCACTCGGTAGAGTGCGGTGCTGATAACACCAAGGCCGCGGGTTCGGATCCTATATAGGGATGGCCGGTTTGCTCACTGGCTGAGCGTGGTGCTGACAACACCAAGCCAAGGGTTGAGATCCCCTTACCGGTCATCTTTTTAAAAAAAAAAAAAAAAACCTAGCATGTGGTGATTACAGTATGCCCACTTTCCAGATGAGAGGGGTAAAGTGGTACTGCTTCAGGGTAGCAGAGAGCCGAGAACATCCAGGCCAACAGAATCTCTGACTAGTAGTCCCCCTCTCCAATAGTGCTATTAGGTCCCCTCTCCAAACTTTAGTCTTAATGCAAAGGTTTGTCTTCCTCTCGGGTGGTGCCCCTCCCCACCCTTGATGCCTCAGGTTTTGGGAAGGGAACCCAGGCTGAGCACCCAGCAGCCCTCTTCTCTGTTTGGCGGGGCTTGCCATCCTAAACCAGTTCTTCCTGTCCAGCTGGGAGCATTCCCCTGATTTGCCTTCCTGCCACTCCCTCCCTGGCCAATTAAAGGCAGCCTTGTTTAGGGAGCTGATCTTCCCTTCCCCCCCTCCCCAAAGTGTTGCTGCCTAGGGGCACAGCCCACTGACTTGGCACCAGGCCCAGGCAATCTGGGGAAGTGTCTCCCACCCACCAGGTGTACTTCAGCTTAAAGATATTTCTGGTCTGCTTGAGGATTCTCATCTTGATTGCACAGAAGTAGGGGTGGGGGCGGAAGCCCAAGGGGTTCTAGTGCCCTTGAGTGGCCAGTGAGAGCTCTTGGGACTTCCTGGAGTCCAGAGTTACCAAACACCGAGGAAGATAATCAGGCCATGCTGTGGAAAGCTCTATGAGGTTGGGAGGAGGCCCTTTTCTCTTTGGGCTGACATCCCCATCTTTAAAATAAAGGGTTTGAGCAAGATGGCCTCCAGAGTCCTTTCCAGCTCTATTTGATTAATAATTACCTATTATTAGAAAGGGGCTGTGGAAAACATAAAGACATCTAAAGCATTCCCTCCCTGGAAGAAACTTATGGTTCATGAGGGAATTAATGTACTCCATTAAAGTCTGAGTTCTGTTCTCCCCAGCCCCTTCCATCCACACATAGATAGGGCAGGAACTCTGTTCTATTTGTTTTAGTGAAATATCTGTCCCACAGTTTCCAGGAAATGTTTGTATGAATGGATGAGTTTATGCATGTAACTTCATTCTAGAAGGTTCATTGATGTTATTTATTACTAGTATGAATGTCTCCCAGTGGTACTGTGAGGTAGGTATTATTAACTCTATTTTTACATGAAACTGATGCTCAGAAGAATGTAGTGGTTTGCCAAGGTCAGAACCAGGTCTGACAATGTGCAAGGTGTCTGGTTTGAGCATCCTCAGAGAACATTCCAGAGGAGGAAATTTGCTGAGTTTGATGATAGATACCTTGGGTACTAGTACTGCATTTCTGGGTGACCTTGAGCAAACATGCCATGTCTCTGGGTCTTAATGTTCCAGACTCTAAAATGAGAGCCCATTGATCAGGGAAGGGGACTTTTCTTGGCCTACTTGGTAAAGAGTCTAAACAAGTCCCAGTGTCAGAAGAGAAGTGGGGTTGGGGGTTGTGGGGGGACATTCAGCTCCTGCCATCCCCAGCTCCTAGAAACAGAGGGCTTTTCCAAGGACTTGGAGTGCTGAGCCGGGCTGAATGAAGAGCTGGGGAAGCCAGGCTGGGCTGCTAGCCCCAGCTCCCTGTTGGGAGGAATTGGCTCCTAACTGTCCTTCAGCCTCCTGGACTGGATGGGTGGGTGTGATTTCCAAATGAACGCTTAAAATTGGGGGAAGGGGCTGGACAGGACTCTTAGTCACTGCAGACTAGCGTAGCCTGCCTGAGTCACCCATTTCCTTTTGACCTCTTGGCTAATAGGATAGCTGTGGTGGGGGTGTTGCAACGGCTTGAGAGTTTTACCTTGTCCTTTGGGAGTCAGTGTCTCAGTGTCCAGGGCCCTGAGGGTTTATACAGGAAATACTTGAACTAGGTCCTGAATCTTCGCAGCCCCTTGCCTGCGTGTAGCCTTTGGCATTGCTCAGGATTCAACCAGTCCTCAAAATCAGTCTTTAGACCTCTGCAGAGCAGGTATTACTCTTTTCCCCCCCAAAAGTAAAAGTGAACTGCCACTGGTCTGGATTCATGGAGCAAAGCTGGCACAGTTCAGATTTGGTTTGACCCCAGGATTCTCTGATGTTTCTGACCGCCCCCTCTTCTTTCTGGGCTGGCCATAGGGCATTGAAACATTGGTTTGGTGTTAGGCAGACCTGACTCCAGAGGTGTGAAGTCCACCTCGTACTAGCTGCATGACTTTGGGACATGCCACTCAGCCTCTCTGAAGATTGTGATTCTGCTGTGGTGAGGCTTAGGAGATGAAAAGGCTGCAGATGAGCGTACCTAGTTTCATACCTGGTAGGAAGGTGGCATTTCTTAGTGGCAATACCCCTTCCTTGCCCAGGCCACCTTGATGCCAGGTGGTCCTATCCCTTTGAGAATTCAACACCTAGGGCCCCTGGAAGGCTTTCTCTCCTCCGGCCCCCCCATGTCTAACCCCGCAGCTGCGAGGTGGGAAGGGAGAAATCTAGGGTGGGGCTGATGGAGCCCAAATCTCCTATTTGTTTATCTTAGAAGTGGGCTGTTTGCTAATTATCAGATGGGTTTATATTTAAACAAGAACCAGTTCCAGGCAGCCCCACCTCTCCTGTGGGGATCTGCAGGAACCCCATGCTAAGCAGCTTGCGGCCTGGAGGGAGAAGGGACAGGGGGGTTTGCCATGAGTACCAGACCATTCAGGACACTACCCAAGACTCTGAGTCACTCTCCTGTGTTGGAGGGGCAGTGTTCTGTAGGAGGAGTGGCAGAGTTTTAGTCTTAAAAAGGTCGAGTGATTGCAAATAGCACTCTGGGCTTTGCGGGGATGGGGTGATGGTGGACAGAAAAGGTACAGTGTTCTGAAAAGCCAGTTTTCCTATGTTTTCATTGCATGGTGCTCTAGAGAGAGAGAGGAGAACACATATGTCAACAGTTGGGATCTGATTGAACCCTAGGAGAGCAAGAAGCCTGACTTCTTGGGCTGGCTTGTCATTAACTCACTGGTGACCTTTGGGCACATTCCTGCACCTCACAGGCCCATCTCTGGCGCAGTCTGCTGGAGGCTGGGTGACTGGAAAGGGAATACATTTCACAGTCAGAAAACCCAAGTCTGCGTCCCAGCTCTACCGCTTACCCAGGGACGCACAGTTAGTTAATAAGTCACTTTGCTGATGTAAGCCCCAGTGTCCTCTATAAAACACCTGTGTCACTTGAGGGTCATAATTGGTGTTTGGCAAACTTGTAAAGTGCTGGCTTAAGTTTAGTTTATTATTAGCAGCTAGACAAGGGTTTTTAACCTGGCCAGAGGTTGGCTTCACACGTTGAAAATGTAAACTGATAGTTACGGTTCTTAGAGTTCAGACCTTTTAATCCTTTTTAGAGGGCTCCAGGACTCCCCCAAAAGATCACTTTGACCTTAACAGTTCTATCCAGCTGTGATCATTTCACTTCCCTACTTCCCCCCCCCCTCCACGCCTCCTGTCCCCCCCCCCACCCCTTCAGGCCAGACTCCTATTCAAATAGTGCCCCTCACTCTTACCCTGCATCTCCTCCCTCAGCCTGGGGAGCTCAGCTGCCCCAGTTTTCTCTGGCACAGCACAAGAGACTGCTAGTCAGGTGACACCTAGGGTAATGGAAAGGGGAGGCAGGGAGAGGCTGGTATGTGTGGAAACAGTGACTTGGTGAAGCCCGGCGGTCAGTGGCTGCGCCTGCAGGGACTGGCTGTACCACTCAAACCTCTGGGCATGAGGGCAGGGGTGGCAAATGGCTGCACTGGTCACCTGGAGTGGGGACACTCCTTGCCTTGGGGAAGCCCAGTGTGTGGGACTGACTGACCTGGTCTGGAGCAGTGGCTTCCCTGGGTGGTGGGGGAGGATGGGAAGGGGCAGGAAGCCAGCACCCTGGGCTGATCTAATCAGCTGAGACAGGCTGCAGCCTAGCCTCTTCTCAGCTCTCAGAAAACAGGAGGCTTGTTTATGACCTGAGAGTCTCCCTGGCCCATGGATCTAGCAGGGATTTCAGATCCGCTGCCTAGATTACAAGGCCCAGCTTCAATGCACCTCTGTCTCTGAGGCCCTGAGGGAGGCAGCCCCCTCCCCACTGTCACCGCCGGTAATCGGAGCAATGCCCAGCTTGGTTACCAGGCCTCAGTACAGAGGGAGGCTTGTCTCCTTGAGACCATCTTTCATAGGTGGGGAAACTGGGGCTCAGAGAGGGAATTGCCCAAGATCACTCAGAGAGTTAGTGATAAGGGTGCTTGATTGGTTCCTGGCAGAGGGATGTCCAGGGGCTCTAGTATTCTCCTCCCTCCACTACCAACCCCCGTTTCTAGCTGACACCCTAGGATCCTGGAGTCCTTGCTGTGGGAATGGGCTGCCCTGGGGCTTGAGTGAAAAGCTGGTTGCTGGCAGTGCCAGGCCTGGCTCTCTCCTGATTGTGTTCAGAGTAACCCGACCTTGAAGTGGGCAGACCAGACATTTGAACCCTCACTCCACCCCCACCCCCAGACCTGGCTTAACCCTTCCTGTACCAGAACACCAGACTGTGGATTGATTTGTGGTTTCTTTTGGACTTCTAGATTTTTTTTTTGGTCCCCAAGGCAATGCAGGAAATACTTTGGGGATCCAGGTCCAAGTAGAATTTCAGGTGTCTCTGCTCAATGCCATTTGCTCCTTCTGGAAAAATACAAATAGTCTTTCTTTTGCCTCTGCTTAGGACAGGTCCTCAAAGCTGTGTCACCTTGGGCAGGCCTCTGTTTATCTCTGAGTCTTTTTCTCTTGCACAGTCTGGAGAGACCTGATTGGTTGTTGAAAAGTCTCTAGTCTCAGAAGCAAAAGAATGACCCATTATAAGTTATGTCCTTTTTCAGTTTGTAAAGCACTTCTACATCCTCTAACCAGCTTTTTATGGAATTGCTACAAGTTTTCCCAGGTTTCTGACCCTTTGAGCACAAATCCCCTTAGCTAGAAGGAAGGCAGGTAGGGGTTAATAGTAGCCACTACTCATTGAGCACCTGCTGTATGCCGGGCCATGTGCTGGGTCTCTTGTACACACTAATGTATTTCACTTAATCCTCATCATCCTTGAAGGTGTTACCAGCCTTGGTTACACAAGAGGAAACTGAGGATTTAAGAGCTGAAATAAACTCTCAGGCTCATATAGTTAGGAAGCGGCAGGACTATGGTGTGCTTATGGATCTGCCTTTATGTGCAGCCGTCCTAGTGGTAGAGTCCTGATTGTAACCCCAGGTTTTGCCCCTTCTGGAGAATGTCTGATCCTGCAGAAGTGGGGTCGGAGAGGATGGTGACTGCCAGTGCACCCTGCTGGGGATCTTCTGCCAGAATCACTGTAGTGGGTCCAGCAGTTGGGGCCCAGGGTACGTACTGTCCCTTCTCCCCCCTAAATTTGGCTTGCCCAGTTATTACCCTTCTGTTTTGTTTACTTCTTTAAAAAACGTTTTTCTTTTTTTCCTTCAGTTATTACCCTTCTCATTTCACCTCCTGAAAGAAGGGTCAAGTATGTTCTTGACCCTTCCTCCCCTGGGGAGGAGCCAGGTGAGGAAGGGCTCTCATTAGTTCACAGTTAACCAAGCCCTGACCCTGAACTCCTCCCTGGAGCCCCAGCCAAGTTTCTGTTCCTTTGTTTAAGCAATATCACTTTCACCTTTATTTACTCCTAGACAGGAGAAGGGGTGTCCTGGAGCCCTGGCCTGGGCAAAGTGTTGTGGGCTGTTGGGTTAGGGTGGAGAGGTGAAGAGTGAGTGGCAGTGAGAAGCCCGGTTGTGGTTAGGGCATGGACTTGAGAAAGATCTAGGTTTGAATCCAGCTCTGTCTGTCTAGCTGTGTGACTTTTTTTTTTTTTTATTGTCTTTTTTGTGACCGGTAAGGGGATCGCAACCCTTGGTGTGGTGTCGCCCGCACCACGCTCAGCCAGTGAGCGCACCGGCCATTCCTATATAGGATCTGAACCCGCGGTGGGAGCGTCGCTGTGCTCCCAGCGCCGCACTCCCCCGAGTGCACCACGGGGCTGGCCCTTTTTTTTTTTTTTTAAAGATGACTGGTAAGGGGATCTTAACCCTTGACTTGGTGACTTGGTGTTGTCAGCACCACGCTCTCCCAACTGAGCTAACCGGCCATCCCTATATAGAGATCTGAACCTGTGGCTTTGGTGTTATCAGCACCACACTCTCCCAGGTGAGCCACTGGCCGGCCCTTAGCTGTGTGACTTTTGATGAGTGACTCAGCTGAACCTCACTTTCCTCATCTGCAAGATGGGTAGAGCACATTATGACCAGGCTGTTGTATCAATTGAGTGTGCTCATATAGAGAAAGAACCCAGCATGGTGCCTGGCAGGTAGTAGATCCTCCTGTTAGTCACCCCAGCCCCCATGCTTTTCCTGGGGTGACAGAAGCCATGGGATGTTGGGATAGGGTTGGTGATCTTCTCCAAGCTTCATGCCTGTAGCCTAAGGACTAGATGGGTAGTTTAACTGGAGTGACAGCTACTGCCTGTGGAGTTACTGAGACCCTTAGGGGAGGGAAGAAAACTGCATCCTGGGAGCCAGGAGACCTAGGTTCTAAGTCTAGCTCTGTTGCCAGCTGCTTGGGTGACCTTGGCAAAGTCCCTTGTCTGCTAATCTGTTTGCTAGGTTATAAAAAAATGAGACGGTTGGGCTTGCTGGCCTCAGATACCTTCTGTTGGCAGGTGTTAGTTCCTATAGAACAAAAGAACACCTACCCCTTCTCTTCCCTGGATAGTGTGGAGAGGAATCCAGGATCTTTAACTCCCCAGGCACCAATTCAGGTGCTCACCAAACACAGGGCCAGGAGGGCCGCAGGACCAGACACTGTTTTATTCAGCTGGTGATTTCTGTTGTGTGTCTATGAAAGGGACAAAGGTGCAGGGAGACCTGTGGGGCCCAGAGAAGGTACGTGTACACACGTGAACACACGTGCCTGGGCAGAGATTGGGTGAGCTGAGGACAACAGACCACATCCTTAGCCGGGAGCAGGGTGGGGTCCCTCTCTGGTCAGGGCTGGGCCTGGCTGCTGGTAGGCCTGGTTCTTCAAAGCCACCCCAGATTGAATGGGCCTTGTCTGAAAAAAGCAAGGGCTGTGGGTGCCTCCTCAACCCTTACCAAAAAAAAAAAAGAAAGGATGATTGCCCATAATCCCATGGGTTTGGTCCTGTCTTGAGAGATTCCCTCTTGTCAGAGGTCTTGGGCAGGGAAGGGGCTGGAAAGAGACAGAGAGGGGGGCCTCCAGAGCTCAGGGAGGATTTAATTCCCCATGTCCTCCCATCAGCACTGTCTCACAAAGCTTTTTCCAAGCTTCTCTACTTGGTAAGAGGGAAATCTAGGCTCACCTAATGCAGCCTTTGAAGACTCCGTACTTTTAGAGTTCTGGAATAGGGTCTAATCCTGGCCATGCCACTGATCCCCAGTGTAACCTCAGACTAATTGTTTATCTTCTCTGGGAACCTGGTATAAAAATGGAGGGTTAGGGATGAACTGGTAGCCACAAAGAGGGCTGAACTGGGGAAAAATCTTGGTTTCAGCCTCAGTTTTGCCACTGACTTGGCTGCACGGTCATCACACGCCACCATCTTAGCGTTCATTTCTCTAAGGTAAAATGGAGGTCATTACTAACAACAAATCAGTGCGCTAATCCCATGGGTTGTTTTGAAACACCCCTTAGCACTTTCACATACTAAAAGAAAGGCTGAATGTGTAAACAACATTCCATGGCTCCTGGGGACAAGAGGAGTGGGAAAGATCTCTCTTCCCGAAACAGCGCATGTTGGAATCCCAACCCTAGGATTCAGGACTTTGAACTCCAACTCCCCACAGCCAGCCTGGTGTCCAGGCCAGGGCAACAAGTGGCCACAGTACCTTTTCCTGCTGGATTTGACTCGCACTTAACAGACTCTTGTAGCCTGGGATAGGCTGGCAGCCCTATGTATATGAGTATTCTTCCATGTGTTTATTTGTATGTGGCTAAAAGCCCAGGAGACCAGGGTCCAGTGTGGTCACTTCGTGCCTGTGTGGCCTGGCCTTGGACAAGTGACTTTATCTTTCCAAACTCTTTTTTTTTTTTTGTCTTTTTCGTGACCGGTAAGGGGATTGCAACCCTGGGTGTGGTGTCGCCCACACTGCACACAGCCAGTGAGCGCACCAGCCATTCCTATATAGGATCCAAACCCGCGGCGGGAGTGTCGCTGCGCTCCCAGCGCCACACTCTCCCGAGTGCGCCACGGGGCGGCCCTATCTTTCTGAACTCTTGTTTCACCTCTGCAAAAAGGGTCTATTAAGGAGACCCTCTTAGTTAAGGCCTGCCAGTTGGTGAGGTCTCACTGGTTCAGATTCTGGGCCCCAGGAGAATTTGTGGCAGGAGACGGGGGTAGGAGCAAAGGGACCCCGCCCTAGGTACAGGCACTTGCGCAACCACAGAGGAGCCTTCCTCCTGTGCTGCCAAGCCACAGGCACGGGCTGTATGCGGGGGCTGGAATTCCAGCACCAGCAGCTCAACAGCTCCTGATTCCCGAGCCATGAAGTCATCTCTAACCAGGGCTTAACCCTTTCTGGCTCCCCAGACCCATGTGTGTCAAGCGCTCAGCAGAGATTCCCCTACCCCCGGGGGAGAGAGGGATGTCTACCCACTGCCTTCCTCCCACCCTGTCCTGGCTCCCTTCTGGGAATCCAGCATTCTGCTCCCACGGGGGTAGAAGAGAGGGCACGTGAGTCATGTTCTGTTGCCTCTCCCCGGAAGCCAGTGGGGAGAGTACAGGAAGAACCTTGTCTCAGAAGTGGCTTTCCTGGGACTCTCCTGCGATGACATGGCCTTGTCTTAAGAATGTACATTCCTTCTCAGACTCCCCTGTGTCACTGGCAGTCTCAGCTGGATGAAGAGCAGCCTGAGGCAGTCAGAATCAGAGAACTGGCCACTTTGTACTCTAAGTGATGTAGCTAACTCACTGTGACGTTGGGCAAGTCACTACCCTGTTCTGGGCTTAAATTCCCTGAAAGGGGAGGACAGGACCTCCCTGGGTATCCAGCTGATATTCTGTGGCATTAAGTAGACCTTCACCTCCTGCAGTTATGTGGTCTGGAGTAGATGAAACTGTCTTGCAGGAAGGAGTGGTGTGTTGAACTTAATAAAAAACCTCAACTCTTTTGGCAAATGGTAGGCACTTTAATGTTTGGATTAATTAATGAGATATCGAGCCTTGCTCAGGGCTGCTATTCTGTGGGCAGACAGAAGCCTGAGCCCAGAAGTTGGAGAAAGGTGGTAGACATCCAAATGTTCCTATGCCCTTGAGAGTTGTTGCTTTCTACTCAGCTTAGGTAGGGGATGGGAGCAGAATAACTGATGTACTGTAGGGCCCTGGGAAAGTTCTTTGCCTCCCCAGACCTTTGATGCTTGCCTTTTGAAAGCTGCTTGGTGGGGGTGGCCCTAAGACTTGGCCATGACCAGCTGGGTCTCCATGGGGTGGTGGCTGAGTGACACGGGTACTGAAGTCTGTGAGGGCAGGGATGGTGCCTCTCTGTGCCCTGCACGATGCTGGAAGCACAACAGATTTGTGGGAGATGTCTGGAAGACAAGACTGAATGCAGGAGTATGCTCTTGAGTCAGTAGGTCTGGGCAATGCCCTGACCTGAAGCTGTCTTGGGGTGTGGGTGAGCCAGCCCTGTCTGTCTGAGCCCAGTCTGACTCAGCTGGGAAAGGTGTCCCTAACTGGGCAGGACCAGAGCCAGCAGTCCACTCCCTGCCATGTGTGAATCAGCTGCCACTGCATCATAGATCCTGGGGCTGGCCTGTGAGCAGGGGAACTGCTGGCTCTAAGGTAGCCCTGTGTGCAGTCCTCACTCCTCCACCTGCCAGTTGTGTCACCAGACGAGAATGATGTCAAGTCTTTAATGCCCAGTTTCCTTTATTGTAAAATGAGTTAACAACATACCCTCAGAGTTATTAAGAATAGGGCCTGGTACACGGCAAGTGCTCAGTAAATGGTACCTAGTAATATTAATAACTTGATTATTACACCTTTACTATTTTTATTAGCCCAGAATGGGTAAGAGACTTGCCTGAGGTCACACAGCAAGTTAGGGCCAGAGCAGGATCCCGGACCCAGGTCTCCAGACCCTGGCCTGGTTCCTTCCAGGACCTGAATGCCTACTTCACTGACTTTCCGGACTCAGGCTGTTGCAGAGTACTGAGGGCCTGTTGACTGATGTGTCTCCTTTCTTCATTCTAGATCCGAGAGACTGAGATCATTGACCCCCAGGACCTCCTAGAAGGCCGATACTTCTCTGGAGCTCTTCCAGATGATGAGGATGTCGGGGGACTTGGGCAGGAACCTGATGACTTTGAGCTGTCTGGCTCTGGAGATCTGGGTAAGGAGGGTCTGGAGGGCAGGCTCAGGGCATGGAGCTGGGGGATGGTGGCCTCACCAACTAGGAAGCTGACCGTGCCTTGACATTTGGATTTTTGTGGGGATTTTCCTCTAGTGCTCCTCCTCCCCCTCAAGAAAAGGGGAAACAAGAGTAACTGGATTAACCTTTTGCATCCCTGAGACTCAATGGGAGCGAGTTGTTTGTTGCTTTGAATTCATTTGTAGCTCTGGCTTTTCTGAGCACCTTCCTGAATTGTCTTCATGGGCTCCTCCCTTTGGTGGGGGTGGGGTGGGGAAGGAGGATCTATAGAATGTTTGTCTTCCTTTGAAAAGGAAAGGTGCTGAGAAGTGGGGGTGGGTGGGAGGAGGCATGTGTGGGTAGAGATGTGGGTGGAGAACCAGGAACTGGCTTTGGAGTCACGTAGTCCTGAATCCAAACCTCCACTATGAACTTCCTCTAAACTTCCGTTTCCTAATCTGTAAAATGGGAGTAATAATGACAGTATGTCAGTGTTGTGGGGACTGAACTGAGTTAAAACTCTTGGCACATACCAACCACTCAGTAAATGTGTGTTGTTTTTAAAAATAAATTTTATTGTGTATATTTGAGGTGTATGACATGATGTTATGGGATACATATAGATAATGGAAAGGTTACTGTAGTAAAGAAAGTTAACATAACCATCACCTCACATAGTTATTCGGTAAATATTTAACACTGCAATATCTAATATTTGATATTACAATTAGAGTCTTCCTTCTCAAACTTTAATTCCCTGGGGATTTTGTTAAAATACAGATTATGATTCAGTACTCCCTGAAGTCCTGCATTTCTAGCCAGCTTGTATGTGTTCCTCTTGGTCCATGGATCCACACTTTACAGAGCAAGGGTTGGAGCTGACAAAGCATCTGCCCAGCTATCGGCTCACATATTCCTGTGAAAGAGCTAGGAGGCAGGTCTTAGGAGCCCCATTTTACAGATGAAGCAACTGAGGTTGGGGTGGGAATGCTCACTTGCTGGACATTTAAGCATTCAGGACTGGTTGTAAGGTAGGACTCCCACCAGCCAGGGCTGAAGGGGTTATTTACCTGGGGGACTTCACATTCACACAGCTGTTCTGACCTTGCAGATGACTCAGAGGACCCCGAGATCTTCCCTGAAGTGATCCGACCCTTGGTAAGTAGCTACACACCTTTGCCTCTCCCCTCTTGCTCCTCTAAACATACCTGTTGGGAGGGGCAGAAAATACAGCCCCCATGTGCAGAATAAGTGAGGGGGTCTGACCTGCAAGAAGTCATTTTATATGTGGCCCTGGGCTCATTTTGGAATAGGCACAACTTTGGGTCCCAGGTAGGCCATCCTCCCTGCTGGGGTAATCACTGTCAACACCAGCTCTTTTTCTGTGCATTTATAGCTATTTTCTAGCAATGGTATCAAATTATATATAAGGTTCTATGTACTATATTTTTCACTTAGGTGGTCATGATTATTTTCCCACATAGTTAAATGTTCTTGTCATTCTTATAGGCTGCATAATAGTTCACCTTCCCCTTATTGATGGAAAAATTGTTTATAATTTTTTGATATTCTAAAATTACAACACTGCCTCAAGAATCTTTTACACACAATCTCTGATTAGCAACTTCCAACAGAGTCCCAGAGGCAAAACAGATGCCTTAAAGGGCAGGCAATTTCTAAGGTTTTGGCAAACTGCCTCCAGAGAGAGTGGTTACTCTAGAATACCCACCGTCAGCAGTGTGTGGAACACCTGCTCCCCGGCCATTGGTCACATTTATTTCCCATTTGGGTCAGATAAACTATACAAAAAGTTGAGAATAAGGATTTTGGTAACATAATTGTAGAGTTTGTTGCCAATTCCTGCTCCAGGACCACACAGTTCAGCCAGAGAGACTACAGAACCAGATTCTCTACCAGCCTAAATGTCCCTGACCCTTGCCTTGGGTCCCTCCCCAAACACGCTGAGTATCTCTCCTCCTTTCCCGCAATCCAGGAGCCTCTAGATAACCACATCCCTGAGAGGGCAGGGCCTGGGAGCCAGGTTCCCTCTGAACCCAAGGAACTGGAGGAGAATGAGATCATTCCCAAGAGGAACTCGCTCTTTGAAGGGGATGAGGATGTGTCCAACAAGGTGTCCATGTCCAGCACTGCCCAGGGCAGCAACCTCTTTGAGAGAACAGAGGTCCTGGCAGGTAAGGTACTGTGTTTCTCACCAGATGCCTTGAAGGGGAAAAGAGGGATGCCTCTAGCCCATTAGGTTTCTTTTTTTTTTTTTTGTGACCGGTAAGGGGATTGCAACCCTTGGCTTGGTGTCGCTCGCACCGCACTCAGCCAGTGAGCGCACCGGCCATCCCTATATAGGATCCGAACCCGCAGCCTCCGCGCTCCCAGCCCCGCTGCGCTCCCAGGGCTGCACTCTCCCGAGTGAGCCACGGGGTCGGCCCCCATTAGGTTTCTTGATGCCCCTTCTTTTCAAGCACTCAGGTTGCCCTGGGTGTTGAAGGACTGTGACTCCTTTTAAGGGTGGCTCTGACTGTGTGCAGCCTGGAGGAGTGGGAGGAAGAATTCCATATCAGAGTCTTCTAAAGAATAGGTATTGAGTCATTCCTTTGCCTTAAGCACTTCTCACTTATTTTTCAAAGCACTTTCACAGCCTGGGTTTGGCATCTGGGAGTTAATTATTAAAAGTTAATTTCCCTTGAAAGCTTGGAGGTTCCTTAGAATTGGGTTAGCTTCCCCTCCCCTCACTCTCACTTGGCAGCCTTATGACCTTGGCTGAGAAGCTTTTGAACTGGATGTTTCCTTATCTGTAAAATGGGTACAATGATACTCCTTGGGTTGGTGTCATGAGTCCAGGAAAAATAAAATATGAAGTAATTTTGCAAATTGTAAAGGACTGTTCTGATTTGTTAGTGTTATCTTCATTGACCCCTCAGTAGGTGGGGCCCAGGCTATCTTCAAGTGACAGAATAGGAAATTGAAATGTTTGGCCTCAGGTGAGAGCTCTTGACTGTAACTGTGCTGTTGTGGGGAAAGCTCTGGCCCCGGGTGAGGCTTCAGGAGTGGCTCTGTCAAGCCTGGCTTAGAGGCTGTCAGCTGGGGTGGTGACTGGCTCCCTCTCTCGGCAGCTCTGAGACTGGGTGTTGTCTCCAAAGCTTGAAGAAGGGGTGGTTGTCAAAGGGAACTCCCCATGATTGATTTTAAGGTTTTACAGACTGTGGCTGAGGGCAAGTCTGGGCGAACCAGCCTGGTGAGTGGGCACCCTGGGCCCATGCTTGGTAACTCCTGTCTCCTGGGAACTAGCTGGGCCAGCAGCTCCAAGGAGGCTAGAGGTAGAGAAAGAGCCTTGTACCAAAGAGCAGTGTCTTGTTTCCATCCAGAACAGACGATGACCTTGCCTGCATCTTGCAGACGAGGCTCCCTGGGAATTCAGCCCCAGATGACTTTGGGCCCTCCTGGTACCTGAGCCAATGTCCCTTGTAATTTTCCTTTACCACGTTGTATGTGATGTGGGTCAGGTGGGAGTGGGGGCGTTGGGTGGATGTCAGAACGAGAGGGGTCCTTACAGACCATCTAGTCTTATAGGTTTCAGACTGTTTTGTGGAAGTATTTCAGAGGTGAGGCCTCCCTCCATCCTCCTTCAACCACAGTTTCACTGCTAGCTGGCATATTTTGGATCTGCACAGGTTTTGCTTTGAGTCACATGAAAGAGAAGACCTGAAGCCATGTCATCTCTTTAATCTTACCTTTGAGAATTTTACGAGTATAAGATCCTTATGTGAAAAGTTATGTTGTTCAGCTAGCTGAGGTGGGACCCTCCATTCCAGTATCTTTTAAACAGCACCCAGGAGTTTTAAGTGCTTTAAGTGCTCTTTGCTATATGATTCCACTGAGTAGCCACAACAACCTGAAACTAAGTCTAAATAACTTGTCCAAAGTCACAAATCCAGGAAGTAGTAGACCTGGCATTTGCACCTAGCACCACAGTCAACTTCTGAGCCTGTCCATGCACCTTGACCTTGTCCCAGCACAGACCAAGGGCCTAATGGAGGAGCTGGATTCATCAGAGGGAAAGGTGATGGAAACAAGAATGGGATTGATGCCTGATATTACATGTGCTTTTTCTGGCACTTTGTTTCTGCTTTTTCATAGGATTTTAGGCAAGAGAGAATCTTACTTGGATCCTCTGTGCCACTCTGCCCCCATTCTGTGCATAGATTTGTAGTGCAGGGATGGAAAATTAATCTCCTTAGTCCAAGTAAGGCCGAATTAGGGGACTCAATCTGCCACAAAAGGATTCTGTGAGACTTTTCTGCCCTAACAAACAGGAATGAGTCATTCGGGCCACCTGGCATAGTGAACGGAACCGATACTCGCCTAAAGTTAGAAGCTCACATCTGCCTGACACTAGCCAGGTGCTGCCCTCTGAGCCAAACTGTGAATGTCACTTATTAAGCACTTACTGTTGTGCAGGCCCAGTTTAGGGTACTAGGGACACAGATATAAACTACCAAAGCTTACAATTTATGAATCTTGTACATATGCTATGCAGCAGGCACTGTTCTAAGCACTTTAAGTAGATTAATTTATTTAATCCTTAGGACAAACATATGAGAAAGGTACTATTTCCATTTTGCAGATGAAGGAACTTGCCCTAAATCACACAGCCAATAAGAGAAAGACGTGGGAGTGGAAACTAGGCCTTGGCTACTAGGTTCTACATGGGAACATAATTATCTATAATAAATAGTATGGACATTAGTATGTTCTACGTGTGTGTATATAGAATGTATATACCTGGCTATGGAAGTGTTGGCCTGTATAGATATGTATGCACCCAGGGAAAACTAGATGGCCTCCTGCGCTAAGTAGGATAATTATGTCTAAGGGGATTTCCGTAGCCTGTGATTTTTCTTGTTCCTGGCCGTGTTAGTGCTAAGCGTTGCTGGGGAGTCTGTCTAGTGTTTGGAGAGAACCTGGGCTTTGGACGCAGGCAGATTTGGGTTGGAATAGTGGCATTGCCACTCTAGCCCTGTGGTCTTCAGTGACTTGTAATGCCTAGTGACCCCCTTCTCATAATTGAGATGTGAGGGTGAAATGAAGCGTCAGCTTACCTGGCATAAGTGGTGGTGTGATGGTGAGGGTTTGGCTATAGGAGATCTGATTGTGGGGGGAAGAGGACGTTATCCTAAGGTCCTGGTGAGCAGCTCTCAGTCCTGCCTCTCCCCTCTCTTCCTCTCCAGCTCTGATTGTGGGCGGCGTTGTGGGCATCCTCTTTGCGGTTTTCCTGATCCTGCTGCTGGTGTACCGCATGAAGAAGAAGGACGAAGGCAGCTACGACCTGGGCAAGAAACCCATCTACAAAAAAGCCCCCACTTACGAGTTCTACGCATGAAGCTTCTTCACGGGCACTGGCTTGGACTTTAAGGGGGAGGGAAGCCAGAGGATTTTGAAGGGTAGACATTAGGGTAGAGGGAGGGCAACCTAATACTGACTTGTCAGCGACTCCAGCTCTGATTACCTTTTAAGTATCAGAAGAGGCATCATCTTCTCCTGTTCTGCCTGGCTCGTCTTGATTCTTTAGGCCTCAGTTGCCCCAGCAGAAAAATGGGGTTAAACTTGACATTTCTGAAATGAAGCCTAGGATTGGATTGTTTCTTAAACTTCCAGTTTAGAGTCTAGAACCAGCTTAGGGCCTATTCCACACTTGCCTCATGCAGAGCTCCTCTGAAGCCAGGGGGCTGGCTCAGGGGTATTGTATGAGTTCTGATTGGAGGTCTGCCCCCAGCAGCCTTCCTCCCTCCCTTTCACAGCCTGTCCCTTTGCCAGAAATTAGGAGAAGGAACTAGAATCATCTGCATCTTGAGACTTGTCCATCTATGAGTACCTGTGATCACACTACCGGAGTCTCTGTGGTATATCTTGGGCCATTCTAGGCTCTTTCAAGTGACTTTTGGAAATCAACCTTTTTTATTTGGGAAGGGCGGGTGGGGAGAAGAGCTACAAGTTCATGCCGAAATGGATTTGTAGAATTTTTTTTTTTTTGGCAGCTGGCCAGTACAGGGATTGCCCTGGACCTTGGTGTTATCAGCACCACACACTAACCAACTGAGCTAAATGGCCAGCCCCTGGATTTGTAGAATATTTGTAAATCTGTTTTTAGTGCATTTTGTTTGTTTTTTTTAAACGGTTCATTCCTTCGTGCAGAGCCTCTCTCTGCCTGGGCAAGAGTGTGGCAATGCCAAGATATTCTTCACTCTCTCACGTATTCCCACAGCACCTGCTAAGTTTATATTTAATGGCAGTTTTTTTGTTTGTTTTTGTTTGTTTCTTGAAAGTGAGAGAAGAGCCGGAGATATGATTTTTATTAATTTTTTTATTACTATTTATAGCTTCAGACAGGGCCTCTCCTTCCCACTTCCCTCTTTCCTCTCTTTCTTTAAACTCCCTCCCCATTTTTTTTTTTTATACTCCACACTCCTCTGCTCATGACCTTGGCCCTTTCTGAGGCTGCTTCCTGTAAGAAGTAACTTTTGCTGAAACATAGTTTTCTAGCAGATCCCAAAATATAATGAAGGGGATGGTGGGGTATTTGTGTCTATGTTCTTGTAATATATTATTCTTCCTTGGTTCTAGAAAAATAGATAAATATATTTTTTCAGGAAATAGTGTGATATTTCCAGTTTAATGTTGGCTGGGTGGTTGAGTGAGTGAATTTTTGCGTGGTTTGGCACCGCTTTATCTGTCCTGTTCCTGGTGCCTTCTCCTGATTGGGCTGGAATAGTTGAGGCAGATGGTTTCTACTCTCTTCTGCCTTCTGCTTGGGGCCCAGTTGGTGTTCTTTGGTTTGCTTTCTTCAAGCTCTAGGGCTACACTCTCCAATGCAGTAACCCCATGTGACTTTTTAAATTTAAGTTAATTCAAATCTCATAAAGTTAAAAATTCATCCCTCACTTGCACTAACCACATTTCGAGTGCTCAGTCACCACATGTAACTTGTGGCTACTGTGTTGACCATGCAGATAGAGACCATTTCCATCTATTGTACAGCACTGCTCTAGGGAACTAAAATGGCTTAACAAGTCACAGCCTCAGCTTTGCTGGGACTACCCTTAACTCCTGGGTATGGGGAAGGGGGAATTGGGGAGGGCCGATAAGGCCCCAGCTAGGGCCTGCTTTCTGGGACCCTCCCTGTCCAGACCCCACTGGCTGGGCTGGGGGGAATTGTTCTCTCTTGTCGCACCCAGTGGCTGTTAGCTACTGTTGCCACCTCAATCCCAGGTCCCAGCTGGCTGGGTCCTCTTCTACTTCCAATGCCCTTTTCCTCGGGCTGTGTTGGAGTGAGCACCTCTTCTGTAGCCACCTCTCACACTGTTGTCTGTTACTGATTTTTTATGATAAAAAGATAATAAAATCTGGTAATTTCTAGATCACCTGCCTCTTGTCATTTTAAAGTTTGTAACAAGTCAGAGCTTTCTGAGCTCTGAACCCCTTATCTCAGTGGAGCATGAGAAAATCTACCCTCCCCACTCCCACCCCCTTGAAACCTCCTATGGGGTGACAGCCAGTAGAGATTTAGGAAGTCTGGAAAGGGTCTGGGTCTGGAGCAGAGGGACAATGTCAAAACAAGCACCCTGGTGGCCTGTGTGACATATTGCACCTACCTCAGTGTTTTGTTTAGGCGGCACCATGTTTAAAACAATAGACACAAAAATCCTTGAATTAGTTGCCATCTATAAAAATCAGGATGGTTCTCATAAAAATCCAGATTTTTTGCTTTGCTTCAGGAAAAAAATCAAAATTTGGCAGCTGTCAGCCTGCATGGCAACAAGTGGGAGTGACTGAGAGGAGGCACCTTTTGATGTGGCCTCTGCCATGCCACTGTCTCCACCTGCTTCTCTCATGTCACCTGCTTGGCCTCTGCAGGTACTGGAGTTGGCCGGCTCTGGAAATACCACTGACAACCTCCCTGTGAAGTGGGTAGGATCCTTTTTACCAAGGGGGCAAACTTCCCTTAGCTTGCCTATACAGAGTTGAACCTTAATTCCAGCTGCATGGACATTGGTGGTCTCCCCTTGGCACCATGTTGCTCAGTCCTTCACTGGGTGAGGGGAAGGATGCAAAGAGGAATTGGCAGTAGCTGTAGCAAACCCTCACATCACACACCCGAGTGCCAGGAACCCATTCTCAATGCTTTACACCTGATCCATCTAATCGCCACAACAGCTCTGCAAAGTAGGTGCTATTAGTATCCCCATGTTACAGCAATTAAGAGGTTAACTTGCCAAAAGCTACAGTTTACCAGTAATAAAGGAGGGATTTGAACCCAGGCAGTCAGGCTCTGGAGACTGCTCACAACCACATTGCCTGTGAAGGTTTTATGTCACCCATGGCCCCTTTACTGGGGCTGCTTGGCCCCCACAAACCCACCTCTGAAGTGGTGAGTCTGGTCTCAAATCCCGTGTTAGCTCAAATCTCTCCTGAGGCCCTGCTACACTTTGTTTTCCTGAGTCCCATGAGGCTTGATTGGGTCTCTCTTCCTTGTTGCTTGTGTCTTGTAGAAAGCCCTCCCATCTATTGGATCCACATTGTCCCAATACAGCCACTGTGGCTATTTAAATTAAATTAAAAATGTCAAATTAGGACCAGCCCATAGCTCACTTGGGAGAGTGTGGTGCTGATAATAATACCAAGGCCACGGGTTCGGATCCCTACATAAAGATGGCTGGTTAGCTCACTTGGGAAAGCGCGGTGCTGACAACACCAAGTCAAGGGTTAAGATCCCCTTACCAGTCATCTTTAAAAAAAAAAAAAAGTAAAATTAAAAACTCAGTTCTTCAATTGCACTAGCCTCATTTTAAGTGCTCAATAGCCACAGTGTAGATATAGAACATTTGTACTGCTGCAGAAATTTCTGTTAGACAGGGCTGTGTTGGGTGGTGTGAGACTGTGGATCAGGACCTCTGGATTCAGATTTCGGCTTTTGACAGCTGTTAGCTTTGTGCTCCAACAGTGTGGTGGGGCGGGGTATGTCAGAGCTTGGCACACAGTAAGTGCTCAACAAGTGCTATTTATTCTTATCACCAATTTTTGGGTAAGATGTTAGCTCCAGAAGGCCCCTGTATTAGTTATCTATTGCTGTGTAAAATTATCTCCCAATTTAGGGGCTTATAACAACGTAAATGTTATCTCAGTTTCTGTGAGTCAGAATTCAGGAGCAGTTTTGCTGGGTGGGTGGGCGGGCTTGAGGTCTCATAACATTGCAGTCAAAATGTTCGCCAGGGCTGCAGTCATCTGAAAGCTTGACTGGGGCTGAAGGCTTAACTTCCAAGATGGCTCAGTCACATTCCTGCCAACTTGGTGCTGGCTGTTGGCAGGAGGCCTCCGTTCTAGGGCTGGGTGACTGTCCTCATGATGTGGCTGCTGGCTTCTCTCAGAGTAAGAGATACAGGAGAGCCAGGTGGAAGCTACAATGCCTTTAATAGCCTAGCCTTGGTGGTCACACACTGTCTTATTGATCACACAGGTCTGCTCTATTCATTGTGAGAGGGGACTTCACAAGGACAGCAGTACCAGGGGGTAATACTCACTGGAAGCCATCTTAGATCCTGGTTACTATAGCCCTATAACTAGTCAACCCTGGACAGGGTTAATTTATCTGGAGAGCTAACTCTGATTGATACAATATTACTTCTGAGAATTGAACTATAATTCTGACCAATATTGGGCCATTTTTGTTTCATGGTTCCGCCAATTTTCTGAGGGAGCAGAAGCGCTGACCCTGCGTGGGATATGCACGGGGTACAAGCCAAACAGATCTCCCTCTGCCAATAATTTGCTATGTGATTTTGGAGAGGAGGCAGAATTCTAAAATGGCCCCAAGATTTTTGCTGCCTGGTATATACAACCTGTGTCATCCCCTCCCTTTGAATGTGGGCAGGACCTGTAAACATGATGGGATGCCATTAGGTTTATGATTTGGTTATATTAGCTAGCAAAGGTGAAGGGATTTTATAGATGTAATTAATGTCCCAAATGAATTGATTTTTGAATAAGTAAAAAGGGAGATTATCCTGGGTAGGCCTAACTCAGTCAGTTGGCCTTGAAGAAGCAAGCTGCCATGAGCTCTACAGCTGCAAGAAAATTAATTTTGCCAACAGCCATGTGACCATGGAAGAGGACTCTGCCTCAGAGAGACTCCAGCCCTGGCTGACACCTTAATTACAGCCTTGGCAGACCCTGAGCGGAAGAGTAGCTGAGCTGTGCTTGGACTCCTGACCCACGGATTCTCTGTGACGATAAATATTTGCTACTTTTGTGGCAATTTTTTATGCGACACATAAAACTAATACGGGAAGGTCACTTACCTCCTCTGGACTGCCAATTTCCCCATCTGTTAAAGGAGGGAGGGTGCAGTGTTTGGATCATCTCTAAAAGTGCTTCTGGAATAACAACAATGACAATAACTAGCTCATATAAAGTGGATATGGGTAAGGAATGAGAGAAGAAAATTATATATAATACTATATATATATATAGAGAGAGAGAGAGTATACACACACACACACACACACACACACACAAGGGTACTTTAAAAAGTTCATGGAAAAACAATTAAAAGACAATACAAGGGCTGGCTGGTTCGCTCACTTGAAAAAGCATGGTGCTGATAACACCAAGGTCCAGGGTTCAACCCCCGTACTGGCCAGCCGTCCCACCTGCCCCCCAAAAAACAATACAGAAAAAAACTATGAATTTTGAGGCTGGTCAGTACGGGGATTGAATCCTGGACCCTGGTGGTATCCGTACCACGCTCTAACCTACTGAGCAAACCAGCCAGCCCCAAATCTTTCCATAATTTTTTTTGAAGTACTGATACACACACACATGCACACACACACACACATACATATATATGTGTATATGTATGTATATACGCTTACCAGTGTATGTATACCAGGACAAAACCAGCTAAGTCCAGGACACCCCTACCCAGGGTGAGCCAGGACACCAACCAGGGTTGAGGAGAAGTATGATTTGAGCCAGATGGGGCTTAAGGATGAGCTTGAGAGGATGGGCCCCAATCCAGTACTCTTTAACCATGGCGAGTTCATAAAGAACTTGGTCACAAGGCTCTGCCTTCCCCAGAAATTTTCCTGTCCTTCCTGCCCCCCACCCCCACCCTCAGGTGGCAAGCACCCAGCCATAGCAGGTGTTTATCACCTCACCCACTGAAAGCATTATTGTGCCACTGCTGCCCTGCCTGCCTGCTCTTGTGTCTTGGGTTCTGCAACAGAGCCAAGCCTGACTAGGGGTTCTTTTTTGGTGAGTATGTTCAGGGCTGGCCCTTGGCAAAACCTTGTAGATATTGTTTTATTGATTTCACTTCCCTTAAAGCCACTTCCTCTCTTCCACACCGTCCTCACAGTTCATGAGCTCAGCAGTCCCTATCTTCCCCAGGGAGAAAAGTGTCTGAGAATTTAAACCACACTGTGGTTATAAATAAGTTCTCTTTGCAGAAAATCTTACTTAACAGAAACGAAAGGGAAAGAGAACCCCCAGGTCAGTGCTTAAACTGGAAGACCAGTTTGTTAATAGTGGAAGCTCAGGCAGCATTAGAACTGGAGATTTTGGGGCCAGCCCATGGCTCACTCGGGAGAGAGTGGTGCTGATAACACCAAGGCCACGGGTTTGGATCCCACATAGGGATGGCCAGTTAGCTC